CAAATATGTAAGCACGAAGGGAGTGTTCCGATGGAACCTGGTTTTAGTGACCATCCTCCCAATAATGTCCAGTAATATGATGTGTTGTATGTGATGATGATCTCATGATAATGTCTCCATATTTGCCAATAAGAAGTATTTTATCAGGTTTTGATAACCATTCTTTAGTCATGCTTTATTTTGGATAAAATTATAAGATGGACTTTATGATTTGTTTTTGTGGCTATAAACGTGACTTGGTAAGTAATTAAAGGTGGATGCGGTAAAATGATTTATGAAGACTAAGTATGTATTTTAAAATTAAATTGGATCATTTGTGAAAAACCTAAGTCTATGGATATGGTTTTTAGAAAACCCCATAGTCTTGCGAGGTCTAGCAAGTATTTAAGAAAAATGTTTTTTTTTTTGCTATTTTCTAACTATCGTTTATGAAAATATACCAAGTTAAGAGTTTTTGATATAAGGAAAAAGCATTGGGTTATTTATGTACATGTGAGAAAGTGTCATTTATTTATGAACTGTTTTAAATACCCATATGTCATGACTCATGTTTCATTGTACCAATTATGTGACCTTTTTTTGAGTTTTTTAGAATCCTCGATTACTTAAAACCATGAACCATATGAAATGTTATAGGAAGGCCATCTTGGTAGGTCTCCTTGACACATGCTATGTGGATTAGATAACTTAGTTTGTATGGGTTTACTACCAAGAAGACTAGTGTGGTTGAACCTTTGTGGTTCAAGAAGGTTTTTCATATTGTGAAACCAATGGGCATTGAATTATTTATTTGGCATTAGACTTGCTATACTACCTCATGACATAGGCATAAAAATGCTGAGAATGTATATGTTATTTGTGCTAGAATTGAGTGGGAGCTGTTAAAGTCCCATGATTCTTTTTAGCTCTTGGATATATACAGGTACTCTATCATGAAAGATTCAGATAAACTCAATATTCTAGTGGGAGCACTTGTTGTGTTGGATGGGCTAGCTGGAATAACATGCTATAATGTTGTTCACCCTGGAACCCGGATGTGGCTCTAGTTGTATGGCTACAAAAGGGAGCAACTTGATTGAAGAACTCCTTTGAGCCCCTGAAGATACGACCCCATGCGATAAGGGTATGTTATGATCTTCTGCGACAAATCCATGATTCGTGATGCGACATGAAACATAGACTACGACCATATTCGGGATGAGATCCGAGTAGCAAAGAGAAAGAGGTATTGCCTCAATAAAGTCCTTTGTGAAAGGATTGAGGGCGAAATCCATGATTAATGTAATAAGAGAAAATAAGTGAAAAATGCTTGAGAGAGAGATCGTAATTGGGGGGATGAGAATGTGAGAAAGAGAGATTGTACGACCTTTAAGGCCAAGTAGGAGATGTTGGATTTATGTGGCCATTAAAGGCCTTATGAAAGCTTATATAAGCATTTTATGTAGTGAAACATAAACTTAGTGGGAGTGGTCCTCTTGTGGACCATACTAGGCAAATGTTATTTGTCGATACTCGGACTAGCCTCGACGTGCTAAGCCAGTCGAGTTGGAAAACCCAAGGAACGTGAGCATAGAGTTAAACCGATGAGGGTTTAGTGTGTCAGCCTCGATGAGGTCGGTGTTTGCCCGGATGAATGAGTCGAGAGACTGTGTGGCCCTTGTGTGTGATGGCTAGCCATTAGAGACAGTGCGAAAACCTCATCATAGTAACATTACATGACTTGTACATAGATAGCCATATTGAGATAGCAATCCACCATTGAGGGTGAAGATTGTACGTGAGCGAGAGATTACCCCTATGCACCATGGGGCTGTGGTTGCATCATGATCTGGAGGACCATAGATTTGTCTCTAGGGGAGAATCTGAAATTCATAAACTGGGATTGTGTCCCCTAGCCTATTGGTTGACTTTGGTGGCCTAATCATGAACTCCTGCAGTGGACTGAGGGTCATGAGACCCGCTGGGTCAGTTTGAGAAAGCTAGTGTGGATCGTGGTCCACAGTTGAAGGTGGAGTGCTCCATTATATTAATAATTCCCAGACCTATACGGATTCGATTCCCATCAAAATTAATTTATTTTAATTAATTTTATGTTATATGGTTTTTAGAACGATTATTTGAATTTTTGTGATTCTCTTGATATTTTATTTTTATCATTTGGATTAATAAAAAAAAATTAATTTTCAATGTTTTAAATAATCAAAGAGAAATAAATTCTATGTTCTTCTAAAAATTAATTTAAAATATTTATTAAAATATGTGGCACCCACCATGTGACACGGGGGCCAGATTAGATGGAGCCTATGAGGGGCTACCTAGGGTGGCGCGCCCCACCCATGGTGGGCTTTACTTGCTAAAAATTGTAAGAAGCCTCCATGCAAGTTGGCTTTCTATTTTTTGTAAAGCCTACTTGCATTAGGAATCCATAAAATGAAATTTAGTATGTCTTGTGAATTAAGATATTTTGATTGATCAACGATTATGTGAATAAGGAATGAAAATTTGTAAGAGAGAAAGTATGACTGATATTTTTTTATTTAAATATTTGATGGGAATAGGTTTAGGAAATAGAGGATAAGGTTCTAGCGCCTTCATATGAATCTTGATGGTGGATCTAATGAATGGATGACTCACATCTCTCACCCTTCAAGTCTCCTTAGATCAACGGTCTAGATTTGATCTCACTAAAGATGGCAAACCCTAGGGCATAACAAAATCTATAATTAAAGGTTCTCCCCTCATAATTCTCTACACCTCTTCTCTCTCTAAGAGCTCTCTCTAAGCTCTTTCTCTTTCTCTCTCTAGGGGTCACACCCAACCTAGGGTTATCTCTCTCTTTTGGTGGGTTCTAACAAGGGGGGCACGCCCTAGCTAGTTAGATATCTCTCTCTCTCTTGATTAGTCTCTTCTCTTTAAGGTTAAGCCAAGGAGCTTGAAGAAACCTAAGGCATTGAGGCTTTAGCAATTTGGTTCTAGATTGAGATCTATATGCCTTTGAGAGGGTTTTGCCACATTTAGTAGATTAAGAGACCGATCATTGATCCAAAGCACTATTGGGAGGAGAAGACTCGACGTGGGGTGTACTAAGCCCGGTCGAGGTAGTCTCCAACAATTTTACTTGTTTTATTGTATCTCTTTATTGTACTCTTCTATTCTCATAAAGCAAATTGTCAAGTTTATATTTATTGAATGAATGAGTTGTATTTAAGTGGTAGCAAGTGAGAATCGGTTTTATTTATTTATTTCAAGAGTGATTTTATTTGTAAATGGATATTGTAAGTAATCTTGCCGGTGAAAGAAAAGAAAACTTTAAATTATATGCACTGTGCTTTATCACATAGTCCACCTTTCAATAACCGCTGCTACCAGGATTTCTTTTTTTGATATGTTATCTCAATCTATGTATTGAAATAGTAGTCTTACTTTTTCTTTTTTGGGGTTTGCAGACCTCTACCTGTGGCCTCTAGGCAAAGTGTGTGCGCTTTTGTATAATGTAATCTCTTATACTCGTAATTTAATGTTAACAGTTTCAAAAAAAAAAAAAAAGCTACATCAATATTAATGTTAGTATCGCAAATAAATACCTGATTCTATGGTGGTTAGACTTCAATTTTTCTTTTCATGATTTTAAAAACCAATCAGTAACC